TGGATAAAGGAAGAAAAAAAGAGAATGTGAACCAAAAAAAAAAAAATACTGCAAAAAAAGAGAAAAAAAGTGAGAAGGGCAGCAAGAGGGAAAGTGCCATGACAAGAAGAATGATAATTTCCTTTAACCAGGCTTTCTGAATCGCAGCCAAGATAAACCAAAGAAAATTACAAAATTTCTTTACATGTGGCTACACTTTAGCTCCTCCTTATTTAGTCTTTTCTTCAGTTTTTCTGACTTGTGCAAAAAAATGCAATAATTAACATAACTAATCAAAGTATGAGGCGAATGTAAACACATACTGATTCTCCAATTAGTGAACATGATGCCAGGTAACTATGGCTACAGTCTGAAGTTACTTCCTGTTCTTCATCATGGCTGAACGAGGCTTTTGAACTCAGTTACCCAAACTGTGGTATGTTTCAACTGGAAACAAGATTATGGGGCCACAATCAAGGAGCGGTGAAAGATCTGACATTTGTTTGCATATTTATAAAGTCAGAACTGCGGTGGAGTGTCAGTAATCTGACTGTGTTTCTTTTTAATACAAACCTGGGTGAAGTTCAGCGGCCTGTCCGGTCATGGCGGGAGTGGGATCTTGCAGCTGGTAAGCAGCCGTGGAGCCTGTGCCATCCACGCTGTTGGAGGTCATATAAGTCCCGTAAGTGGAGGCGGAGTAATACTGGGCATACTGGTTTTGGCCAAATGTTGTGTATGAGGGGTAATCCTGCAGAGAATAACATGAATTAAGACGCCATGCAAAGAGTGAGGACAGAAACAAAGAAAGAAAAAAGAAAACATGTTTCGCTCTTCTGGAAAGGTTCAGACTAACTTTTGAAGACAGATTTTACAATGTTCCCTCTCATTTCTCACATCTTTTATACCCTTCATTCTGTAGTTTATATCTCCAAAACAATTAAAGCCTTGTATTGCTGCTTTTTATTAAACCAGTGGAGATGGGCGCTTTTATGAGTCAGCTCCCTAAAACTGTCACTATGTACATCTCTACAAGTCCTTATAAAGTGGAGCACACCACATGAATACACACAGACGCATGGCTGATGTGCAGTCTGAAAAGTGTGTATGTAGGTATGCATAATCACATACACTGTATGCACACCAGCTGGCTTTCTATCAGCCTTCCTCTCCCTTGCTTGCTTTCCCTTTTTCTGTTAAACTCACACACACACACACACACACACACACACACACACACACACATTCCCCTTAATCCACCCACTGAGCCAAGCCTCAACTTTCTTCCTGTAAACAACCACATCTATCATTGCAGGACATTGAAATTCACCTTTTCTCTCCTAGGTTTTTCCCTGTTGCAAGTCACAGTATAATTAGATTTTATTTCTTGAATCAGTTCTGAATGAGGAAAATTGTATGAGCATGTAAAACCACTTCTGGTCTCAAATACCATCACAACCGCACCATGCAAAATCCTTGTCTTTTGTTTGAGCCAGTATAATGAGGAAAATAGCATTCACTTGACCGCTTAGCAAATGGGCCTGGAAAAGTGAATGCCAAAGGTTTATGTTGTTGGGCAAACGCACAGACACACACCTGTACCTGCTGTGTGGCAGTATAGTTGGCGGGGTTAGACACTGAGTTGTTGGTGGTGTAGAGGCCTGAGGATGGAGTGAAACTGGAACCTTGAGAGAGCAACAGCAAAGCAAAGACAAATGTGCAGTGTCACACAGCATGCTCAGAAGTAAGACCATTTTCAGCAAGAATTCAAAATACTGAACATTTTTCAGTTTTTTCAGCATTAGAAGAATGCATGGTTATTTTTTTCTGAGTTGAAGTGATGAGAAAAGCAGAGGCCACTTTGTTGTTTTACAAGATGTTGTTTTCTACCGACCTGGCATCTGATAGGGTGAGTATGCAGTCTGTCCAGGCTGGGGTGTGGTGAAACTGGGGCTGTAGCTGAGGCCTGTCTGCAGGGGAGACTGACTCTGGGCCAGGCCGCTCTCCGTCTTGATGCCCGGCAGCATCACGCCGAGGTCTACAACAACAAACAGTGAATATGACATAAGATTCAAATACTTTACAGCACTGGAAACTGCACTACTAAATATTGGAGTATAAACACAATCAAAGTTTGCTTGACATAGTGCATCGTGTACTATCATCACTGATTAAATGCTATTTATTAAACTTTAAATGCATCTCATTTATGTAACTCTTTGTTTTGGCTTCAAGATGTCACTGTCATACATGTAAGGAAAATAACTCAGAGTATCATTTGTTTTCAATATTTAAATTTTTTTCCCCTCAGCAACCTGGCAAGTTAACTGAGGACGATTTCGATCACATCCATCAGGCCTACTCCGCATGTGTTTGGTCTGCTTGACATCAGAAACTGGACCATTATGTTGCCAGTTACAACAGTCAATCAGTAAACAAGCGTAAACTAATTTTCATTTCTTTGCTTTTTTTGTTCAGTTATAGGAAAGACAAGTTTGAATGCCATGATGTCTACAATAACATTTTCTCCCAATAATTTTCAGTCTAAGTATATTTTAAATGTGTTCTCTTTAGGGCTGCAATTAATGATTTAATTATTGATAAATCTGTAAATTATTATCTTTATTAACTAATAGTTTGGTTTATATAAAATGTAAAAATTGTGAAAACCGCTTGTAACATTGTCTTAAATGTGCCAATGAGATCAGCTGCTGAATGTCACGGTGTGTCTTTGTGTGTCTGTTGATACCATAGGTGGAGAGTCCATAGGGCTGTCCTGTCTGGGAGTAGGCGGTATAGACGGTTGACTGCTGCATGCTGCTGAACTGGGGTTGACCGGCATATGTCGGCATGGGAGGAGCCGCTGGCGTGGAGAGGATGTGAGGGTAGGGCCTGGAAGAGGAGAGAGGTGCAGCATAGACAGATGGGTGAGCCAGGTCCTGAGCAGATTATCACATATAGGAGGTAATGTAATGGGTAAATGGATCAAATCTTGTATCTTGCCAATTGTATACTGGGAGTGATGCCAATAAGGATTCTTAGAAAGCAACATCTGTTATGTTAACAAGACAATCTGACTTACTTTGAAGGGTAGAGGGGAGGAGAGTACTGGTGGGCTGAACGAGGACTGTATCCGCTGCTGGTGATTACTAAAAACAGCACAATAATCAAAAACAACAAAGCAAAACTAGGTTACAGATGGTGTCAACTCTAATCTTCTGTTTTCTCTCACATTTAACAAAACCACACCTGAGCATTGCAATTGAAGGCCTCCAGCTTGTTTGAGCTGAATTGCTGTTCCAGTAAACATAATTTGAAGCATTTTCAAATGGCGAGGAGCCAAGTTCTGCTTCTTTACAGAGCACTGTAGTCCCTGGAACCCTCACAGAGGGCCTCATAGTAAAACACAACATCTGTTTGTGGTCAGTGAGATGTCAGAGCTTAAACACCATGCTGCTTTAAACCCTCACTGTGACTTGCTTAATGGTTTTGTGTACCAGTTTGTATGCATTTTGTAGAGTAAAACACCATCAGGTCATGTGCCAATCTATAAAAATTGTAAAAATGTCCCACTCTCATGCCTCTGCCAGCAAAGATGATGCAATTCAAGGACAGCCAATATGTCATGGGATTAAAGCGTTTATAGAACTGACTAGTACATGTGAATTAGTTTTCTCCTTTGGTTGAGAAAATTGTACACGATTACATTTCTGTGTGCAGATTTGTGCGTTACCTGAGCCTGGGTATGTGTCCAGTACTGTGTCGCCTGTCGTAGTGACCGTATCACTGTTGTTCATAGGCTCTGTTTTCACTTAAGGAAGAGGGAAAGGATCTGTGTTTAAGGAGTGTGGTAAGTAAAGTAGCATCACACATACACACAAAGGAAGCTTACTGAGTAAAGAGCAGAAACGTACCATGCAGTTCCAGTGTGAAAAAGTTTTGTGTACAGAGTTCCCACTATAACTGATATAGAAATCCATAGAACTGTGACCTTAAGGTTTTATTCTTTCTTTGCTTTTAATGCCATTGTTCAGCTCAGAAAGAGTATAAAAACCATGAAATGTGCTTCGCCGGCAAATTCAGATTCTCAAATGTGTTGACTTGTGGGAACCCTGCAAATAGGAAATAACTCTATACACACTGATACATTCACAATGGGATCCAAAGAGCAGAGGACACTGCACAGCAAATGAAAATCAGAGCAACTCCAGCACAGAAAACATCAGATCTACAGCCGGCCTAACCTAAAGATACACATTCCTTTTGCATTTAAGGTAATGGTGTATGACTTTGGCCTTGGATTCACACACATGCACCTCTGTACCATAGTCCTTGGAGCCTGGGTGGCCTGCTGCAGCCCAACAGCCAATCAGCCGTGTTTAGAACGGTCATGTTTTCACCTAAAGGGGTGCAAGGCGGGAAGGTGGTGAGAATATGATGCGCTAAGAACCAGATGCCAGTCTCTAGTATGTGGGAAGTGTTGATTTTTTCCTCTAAAAAGCAAACACTTACATTGAACTATACTGTGTTTAAAAAAAAAAAAAAGAAACGGCTCGACATTCGGAGAAATCCACTTCCTGGCTTTCTTAACGAGAGTTTTATGAGAAGGTCGAGACCACACTGAATTGCTGGAAATTGTTATCTTAGCACAATAAAACGGAGACAAAGGGAGGTGTCAAGCCTGGATCTGCACCAAGGTAAAACATACCAGCACCCCCGAAGCTCATAAATGAACACATCACCACCGTGAGGCTGCCAGGCGACTAGCAGAGACTACAGGAAGTCTGTATATAAATATTTGTTTTTTCACTTTGTATAATCCACATAATCCAACCAAACAGTATATAGTGTTTAGCTTTAGAGGTGCTGGAAAGTGATTTTGATGTTCGGAGAGAGCCAGGCTAGTCTTCTCCCCTTGTTTGCTAAACTGCCTCCTTACTGTATAGCTTCTCATGTAAACCTGCAATTTTGACCTTTTGGTGGAAATATGCTGTAAACAAAACAATGACATATTGTTACCTTAAAAAGTTGAAATGGCAAATTTTGTTAGCAACTTTGCCTATTTACATATCCAGCAGACATGAGCAACATTAGCATCTGTTTGGAGTCATGTTTGTGTCCCCCTGATAAAAGTCCATATTCCCTTCGCTATGTTCACCAGTATGAGGCAAACCTTTTCTGTCTGCTGGACAGATAGAACAAAATATTTATTTCTTTATTTGCTGTAAATAATTCTTGATGAGGTTAAAAACTATGTTGATTAGGCAGAGCAGGAAAGCTGAGTCAGAAAACCAAAACAAAAAAGCTGAAAGACGCCACTGCTCAGTAGAAGAATGCTACAGAGTTGGTGATAATCATCTGTAACAAGGAATTTACAAGTAGTCATGTGATCCAACGTAGCCTATATATGGAAAAATACTGATTATAAGTTCTTTAACAACAAGTAACAAAATGCAGCACACTGAAAATAAGTGATATTGAATTTTTGGATACATCACCCACCCCTATATTAAAATATCAATCTTGTCATATAAACTCCGAAGTAAATAGGTTTATTTCCCAAAATGTTGAACTGATCCTTTAAACCAGCTAATATACATTTGGTTGGCAGTTTATTAGGTACACCTAGCTAAAAACTAACAGTCTAATAGAACAGAACACAACAACTAGAACAAAAACTGAATAATACCACATCATCATGAAGGTATGAGTCAGTGTATAGCCACATGATCCCAAATTTCAAAGGAAAACCACACATTAACTGCCTTTACATCCAACCTGCTGTTTTTCCTGTTACTTTTCTTGTTTCCCTCCGAACATGATTAAGAATCATCATCATCGAGCATCTGAAAACTCCATTTAATTCAAGGCAACTTCATTAATCTCTTCAGTGAGCAACCCAAGCCATTGGACAAGCGCTAATGAAGACAAATGAGTTGCTATGGAGATGGCCCGTGGGCCTGAGTCCTGGCTGATGTCAGGTGAGGGGAATGTTGGGTATGTAGTTTGTTTTGGCTATGAGTATGTAGTTCTGGCTCCGTCTGCTTAAACCATTAACTGTGAGCTCATCAAAAATGATTTAAAGGGCTCTTAATACACCCTGAATGCACCGTTACATCCATTCTGAACACAGCTCCTTCTGTGAGTGTGTTGATGCATCAAGTTGACTAAAATGCATAATCTCACTTTTTCCATTATATTACTATTAAAAGCTGTTTCCACTGCCTGTTAAATCAGCAACAGATCAACAGAAGCACTTATAGCCAGTGTTCTGACAACAAATTGACTCCATTGGACAGAAAAGTGAGAGAGAAATAGAGGGTGATAGAAAAAAGGATCAGAAGGAAAAAAAAAACAGACAGAAGAAAGACAAAAGGAAGACGGAGAGAGAGTGGGACATGGGGAAGAGAAAGAGGAGAAAGCGGTGATGCTTTAATGCTTTTGTAGAGGAAATAGTTTCCAGTGGGATTTTGGGCTCGCACTCAAACATATACACTCAACCAACACATATACACACAATTTGCCAGGCGGTTAGCAGAAGTGCTTCACTATGTGTTTACACACATTCTTCAGTGGTTTACTCATGCCCTGATGCCAGCGTGGATGTGTGTTTGCATGTGTGTGTCTTCTTTCGTCGTTGCAATTTCTCAAAAAGTACTTATCTCTGCATCTTGAATCTTTCTGGCTGGTGATTTGGCAATAGATTTCATTACATTACATTACAGTCATCAAATGATTTGCCTGAAGCAGCTTTCGTTATGTGCATTCAGCCTTTGCTGGAGCATGAACTGAAAAAAACTGAATGCATCTCCCCTAAACAAACAACAAAAAGGATGTTCAGTAAATATGTATAGTGCTTAGGTCCTAGCAGGAGGTGTTGATGTGCCATCTGGAGAGGTGGGTTTAACAGAATATGGACAGTGACTGCTGTGAAAGACATCACTCAGTATTTTTCTTGTTGTCATTTTAGCTAGAAACAACAGCTGATCTAAAGAGCACTTAAAACTAATAGTTTGGAACTTTTTGGATAATAAGCTTAATTGCTTTCTTGCAGAACATCAGATGAGAGTGGTATCACTCTGTAGAGTAAATAATGAAGCTACAGCCAGCACCTGGTTAGCTTAGCATAAAGACGGGAAGCCTGGCTCTGTCCAGGGATAACAAAATTAGTCTTCCAGCACCTCTGAAATTCAATTAAATCTTGTAATTTTAATAAGTAAAAACTGAAAGAACTAAGTTCAGACAACAAGTTGAGGTTTTATGTGCCAGACTTTTTATTACTTCGACACAGTGACTTTCTGGACTCTCCACTAGTTTCCTGCCAAGAGATAGCCTTGCACACAGCGTCCTCTAAAAACACAGCTCATTTTTACATACAGGTTTTTGTACAAATTTTGTTACCTTTGGACAGAGCCATACTAGCTGTTTTCCCATTTCCAGCTAAGCGATTGTTGGCTGGGGCTTCAGGTATATCGATATCACAGTGGTATCAATCTTTTCGGTAACACTTTATTTTACAGGTCTGTAAATTTCAGTTTATATCTAAATAACTTTTAAAGCAGGTTCCTGGAAGGAGCCATATAATTTGGTACCATTTATAGGTGAAATTAGAGAGCGATCAGTTGGTACACTTCCAGTTATTTCTAGATGCTAAATTAGCATAAACTTGAGGCTTTTATTCAGAGGACAGATCTACACATGCAAAAAGTTAAATTTGTCTGCAAACAACCATCCACGTCTACATAAACGAAGAATACCACTTCAAATAATTAATAAATGCATAATAAATATTAACTGGAGTTTACACTACCCAGTGGACTAACTAAGAAACCAAAATCTGTCTTAAAACTTTTATCCCTATTTTTCTGTAATTAATACTAAACTACATGGTTCTTTCAAGGAAACTCTAAAGTAATTGTTAGGAAATAGGGGACCTGTAAAACAAAACATTTATCTTTTCATTTATCTATTGATAAGAAAGCGAAAGAGTTACGCCTTTCATATATATATATATACACATGTAATCTTATTCGGTAGCTGAGCAGAAACCTTGTCTTTCGAATGTTTAGGATTCTCACTGATGACTGAATAGAAATTAAAAATAGAACTGGCCTAAAAAAAAGACACCATGATAGAAATGTTAAGGTAAAAATGATACTTTAAATAGCAAAACTAATATTTAAACCATAGACACAATCGCCCGTCCATTATTAAATGCACCGAACACATTCTGCCATTTCACCTCCTGTTCCATTGGTGGTGATGGAGGGGCTTCCAAGGTTATTCTTGTCCAGTTTGCAGCCCGTCGAATCTCCACTTCCCACTCGGTTATGAGGACTGGCTAGGTCCTGCATTTCCATAGACCTACGGGGGGGGAGAAGGATGGAGGACATTAGATGAACTGAGAGTTCTGAATGAAGAACAACAGAAATAGCTTATAGCAGCTGAGGATGTCCCACTTCTAGATATTATGCCAGAATAATACTGAAATACCGCATATCTAAGGAATCACATACAGTGACACACAACACAGACAGAGTCATAAACGTCATCCTTCTCTGTACAAGCTAGCTTACATGTTCAGAGCCGCTAGACATCGTCTGCGGGCCTGCTGGTTCTTTCATAGAGTCTGTGTGTATGAGTGTGTGTGTGCTTCTGGGCTCCAGTACAAACCCGCAGCCTGCCAGCGTGCCTTAGTTTTACAATGTGTTCCACATGCATCACTGGGATAAACCAGCACACAAGGTGGTAATGGCAAAGCAAAAGTGTGTGTGCGAGTGTATGTCGTCTGCGTGGCTGGGTGGAAGTGGAAGTAAACAGAAACATGAATAGAATGAAGATGCATATTTACTGTGGAGTACAAGTCTGTCTTTCATATATCTCCATTAGTTGTTACTGTGGCAACAACTACTATCCCAAGGGTCCATAATCCCCAGTAAGAGATGTGTTTTTAATAAAGCAACATAAAACATTCACTTGCGAGACCTCATTGCTCCTGCAACAAACCCACATTCTGACATTTCCTTTGGCGGAAGCTTAACGTTGCATCAGTGTGAGAATGGACAGCACCTCCTAGGAACGTGTGTGTGCATGTGTGTCTGCCAACAGGTTGGCCACACTTGTGCTCTTGTGTGAGACATCAAAGCGAGAAATGACAGCAACGAAGGCAGATCTAAATAAATGCGGGCTGCCGGTCTACCTGTGTGTGTATGTGTATTCCGTGTGTGTGTGTGTGTGTGTGTGTGTACTAAAATAAAGTGCACATGTCTGTGGCAGTCTGGAAGCAGGCCATCTCAATGCTATGGGCAGATAGCATCGCCACACATGACTGCAACCCACAGGCAGATTGACAGGTATAAACATACAGCTTTCAGCAGACGCAAAGACACGGATAAAGGGTGCAAAAGAGAGAACACACAAAAGATAAACACTAAATCAACTCTGTCAAATCTTTTTTTTTCCTGTTTACACTAACGTTTGTCTCCTGTACACTGAAAACACTGATTGCCGTTTCAACAACATTGTGTATGAGATATTGAGTGGAGCCTAAAATACCTCCCCTACACGTCAATAAAAACCTTCACAGATTATGGCATTTTTGTCACTTTTCACTCATACCCTCTCGTGTGTGCATCAGCACTCTTCTTCGATCCTTCTCTTTTGTCTCTCAACAGCAGGAAATGATTCTATGTCCCTGTTCATCCACTGTTTTTTCTTTCCTCTGTTTTGCTGCTCTCAAGAGGTAATAGCAGGAGTTGGTGTTTTTCTGGTTTTCACATTATGTCTGGTCCTTGAAAAATATCCTGCATCGTAGTGCAATGTTTGGTGTATTATGTCAAATAAATAGCTACAGGCATGTAACTGTAGATGGTTTTCACTGTTGATTAATCTGCTTTTATTTTTTAAGATGATCTATTAATCCTTTAGCGCATGAAGTGACAAAAAATAGTGAAAGTATGCTCACTGCAACTTTCCAGAGGCCTGCTTAATGTCCATAACATAGTATGACAAAGAAAAGCTAAATCTCTCATTTTAGAACCTCAAACCAGTGAAATTTATTTTTGATTGAAAAAAGACTAAGAGGATTGATCCATTATCAGATTAGCTGGGAATTATTTTTCTGTCAACCTAGTAATCAATACAGCCTCAAATATTTATATGAATGAATGACTGTATGGATTACCACTCACTATTCCTGTCCTTTGGTTGGATCAGCGCATGTTTTCATCTGAGAGTGTGTGTGCATGTGTGTTTTGGGGTCTTAGGAAAGTGTTGATGACATCATCACAGCAACTGCAGCGAAACCTCGCCTCTCTCAAACATGGCCAGAAACCAAGGACGCGCGCACACACACACACACACACACACACACACACACACACACACACGACAGACATGTGTGAGCGTACCTGTTGTCCGAAGGTTCTGGAACATGAGATTCACTGTGTGATTTCTTCACCTGCAGAGAAACCAGAGGATAGAGGATGTTACTAAACACAAACCATAAACATAACATTATGTGCATACGGTTCATAAGAACCAGTGTTTATGAATCAGTCACATTATAGTAGTATCATTTACTCTTGTGAATTACAGCTAAACACTTCATCACCCTCAACGCTTAAAAAAAAAAAAGGAAGCAAAAATGTTTGCCAGTTACATCAAACTAAACAGAAATTTTTTTTTTCTTTTTAAATGCCATTAAAATAATATGTAAACACCCGATGTCCATAGTTGTAGCCACCACTGTGGCAGAAGTGCTAACTGACATCTAAGTGACAGATATTAACTTTCCCTTGTTCACCCGTGACCCTGCTCCACCCTTCCTCAATTTTTGAGGAGTTGAAAGGTCATGGTGAGGTCATGTTAGGTTACAGGGCTCAGTCTTCACCCTCAAGCGTAGACACTAAATGAAGTGGCGACTTTGGAGGTAACTGACACATTTGGTCATGTCAGTCACTGCACACTGGAACTTATATGTCATCACTGAAGCAAAAAAAAAAAAAAAAAATTAAGAACAGCCTCGGTGCCTTTCCACCACAGTGTATGCGGAGCTCGATAGCAGACCAGCGGTTCTCTATTAAAATTCCTCTCTCTTATTTGGAACAGGAACTAATTAGAACAGTAAATGCAGGGCGGAGCAAGGGCCAATGTGTACCAGCTGCCCTATAATCACTGTGTCAACACACTGTCGAGGTGCAGGGCACGCGTGAGGTGCCAAAAACACACACCCACACATGGAAATGCACATACAAACTCACACACAATCTAATTCACCCAGGCAGCATATAGTTAAACCATTTGAACATTATCGCAATCACAGGTAAGTATACAGAAAATCTGCTTGACCAAACAGACACCACACTCCAGGTATGTGGAAACTAGAACATTTCTGTGTGTGTGTTTAAGTGTGTAGAGGCCTACGCTGTGGCGCTATGGTTCTGATTAGACGATCCTGCTGAGAGGGAATAAGAAGCAGCACTTAGCCGTTTAAGACGAGGTTCAGAGGTTAGCTGGTGCCCTTGTATGGATCACTTTACGTGTGCACACTCAACCACACACCAGCCACTTTCATGTCACGTCTCATGCTTTACTGAAATTTAACAAGGCTGTCAGTCACGGCATCAACAGCATAGCCGTGAGAAACTGCAGTTCATATGTAACGCACATGCAGCACACCATGTGGGTGCATGTATGGCCTGCATGTGTGCGCACTAAAAAACACACACACACACACACACAGACAGGGAAACACACGAGCCTGACTGTTTCTGTCTCAGCATGATCTATGAAAACACCAGCACACAGTCTTTGATCCTGAACAGCTTTTATCATTGTGCTTTATCCATTGCACACTTCCTCTCACCGTCTACCTTTCTGCGTCTCACCTCTTTCAGTATCAACACTTTTATCTTTGTCTAACACAAAAAATTGTTTCATATTTAAAACAATTCCTCATAAATTTTATTTACCCGTTCCTCCTATTTTTAGAGTGTAACAGTGGTGTAAAATGTTTTTTCTGCTGCTGATAAAATCTTCTGATTTGTTTTAAATTTCTTTGCTACCCACTTTTGGCAAAGCCCATTAAAACTATGCTACTTGTGAAAACCAGGGTACAGTAATAAAGGTCCAAAAATCAATGCGCTTTCTAAGTCCTGCATTCAGATTTTCAGCATCATTCTTCTTTCTTTATCTTCCATTTTATCTCCAACAACAAAATGACTGGTCTCTAAGTGCACTCTTAGGTGGCCACAATGCCTGACAGACACAGTTGTGTCACCTGAGCTGCTTAAATAGGTGACCTTTGACCTGGTTGGCCGGGTGACCGGTCGGGAACACAACCGGCTCAGCTCGGGGACTCCCTGAGGGACAAATACGGGTACCCTAAGTAATTAACACTAATAACAATAATTCATTTAAAGGAATTGCACACTTCTGTGTGTGTGTTGTGTTTATTACTGATGATATTTATCATCTAATGGTTGTAATAATAATAATGTGAGGCCTAATTTGTCCCTCTATTAAGAAACACTAAGTGGAAGTCATAAATTATCAGAAGCCCTCTCTGGTCCTAGCTGTGTTTCCTTATTTTTGCTCTGAACAACTCACTGACATGAAATGTGCATCAACAAGGTTTGTGTCATTGTTCTTGATAAACCATGAAAACTCTGTGCAGGAAGAGAAAAGGGGGAAGAGAGGGAGGGAAAAGAAGAATAGCACTGTGTGTTTCTGGTAATAACCCAACCCATCTGCAACGGGACATTTGATACCGTGCATAGAGTTGCACGCACACACACAAAGATACATACACATGGTATATGAAGGCTTTAAGAAAATTAGTTCTACAATTTTTACTATTGTAAATAAGGGACTAAATTTTAAAAACTTTTCCCCCCCTAAATAATCGCCTTGCTATTAATGCAGCAAATCCACACTTATAGTGCTTCGTCATGAATTATGGAGTTTTAAACATTAATTCATTTTGGGAAATATTTTCTGTCAATCCTACATCAAACCTGAAGTGTCAAAATTATGAATAACATCAAAATATCAAAGACTGTCATTATTATAACTTATAAACGGCGTTAAAAACAAAACCTCAGTGTAGGTAAATTAAAACTGAAGGAAAATATATTTCACTTAATATTAAACCATTTTGAACTATAGTGTTATTTAATTTGACTCAAATTAATTTGAATGGTAACTTGCAACGACAACCTACTAACCAGACTTTCTTTATTTATTCATTTATTTATTTTGGATGCTATCAGTATTCATACTAATAATATATTAAATTTTAAAGAACAATTTTTACTTTCTTTTACATATGGCAGCACTAACTCATTCAAAGGTATAGTGAAAAAATAACCACTTACAGTATCAAAAACAGTACAATTAACTGATTTTAAAATAAAACAATAGAATAAATTTGAGCAACACACACACAAAAACACACACTCACTCACAGTGTTTAAGATCCATGCTTACCTCAGGGTGTAACCAGGTCACTTAGCAGTCCTATACTTCCACAAAGCATTACAGAGCTGTACGATCCACCAGCTCTCCAGCATACACAGGCTCACACACACAAATACACCTCAGTCGTCTCTTATCTATCTGCTTCTCACTTTGTACTCCAGGTGTCACGTTTTTCTTATTTTTGCTCTACGGGAGAAGATGCATTATCTTCTCTCCCTCTGTGTCGATCTCTTTCTTTCTGAACAAATATGCGGTGGCTAGAAAAAGGAGACACTCCATGTGAACTCCACTTTTCTCCTCCTCTCTATCTGTCTGTCTCTGAGGTCAATCCATGAACAGCTCCTGGCTTCCCCGACTCTGGTAATGAGGAACATTTCACTCGTCCTGTTACCCTCCTCCTCTGCCTCCTCCCCTTCTTTTTCCTCTTCTCCTCCTCTTCCTCCTCTCTCTCTCTCGACTGTCACTCACTACAGACTCACTCAAGTGCACATTTAAAGCAAAGGAACTTTTAAAAAGTAACAAATATAGATTTTATGTTGATTCATTTCTAATACAGTCACAAAAAGTCTGTAGGCTGTCTATGAAAATACAAGGAAGAATTTCAAATGTAGAACAAATCTCAAGCAAGCTGGAGGCCCTAAAATCAAAAACATCCATGTGTATGACTCAAATCCTGCTGATGTCAGCCCTGCTTCCACGGAGCTGAAACGGTAAATGGAGATGTGCTGAGGATATAACGTCCATGTCTCACTGAGCATCTGAAAGTACAGGCCAGACCATAAACTTCACACCATGCAGTGGACTCCCACACACGTTCAACTGAACACACGGACACACAAACACACACACATCCAATCTGTGTTAATCGGAACCACATGGACTACACGTGTGTGTCATATGTGAAGTGTAGCTGGGCCAGAGGGACGGGTGGGGGTGTAGCATCAACTAGCTGGACTTATACACACACACAAGCACATGCACACGCACACACACATAATCTCCCAGCTACCTCGGTCTGAAGATGGCACTCTTTCACTATGGTCATCAAGGTGTTATCAGGGGATGAGCACAAAGGCATCTACAAAGACACCATCCAATGAATACACACTCAAACAGGTCACCCAAATTACACAAATGCACAAAAAAAAACCTCAATTATCTATATTAGCATCAAGCCAAACAAATAGTTTTGATTTCATTCCACCAGGTTTTCAAACATGTCCTGAAAATGTCTTAATACAGCCTTAGTTAATTAAGAAATCCACAGAGCTCATTATGAATAGTTTTCACTGGACCTACTGTATGTTAGTGTTGAATGTGTGTTAGTCAGGCTGGATTAAGACTAGTCGTGGAAATGATCTTAGCTGTCTTTGTTCTGCATGGCTGTGACTAGGCACTGCTATAATTGAGTGTGATGGTTAAGTCGGGTGAACTGACCCTTTAACAAGACACAGACCTGTGTGAATGTTACTGTACATGTAAAAGGCTACAGAAAACAGCTGAGAAGGGGAGGGGTACTGATTGTTTATAGGCCTAGAGACCAATTTGGAACTGGGCCACTGTATCCATCTGTGCACATGCCACCTTTAGCTCGGTCACCATAGTGACAGCATGCGGCCCTGTCCCACAACATTTATCCCCTCACCCCAATAAACACCTTGATTGATAGACTGTCTTTTGACCTATGTGCATACATCAGCGCAAATGTCTGTTGAAAATGCACTATATGTGCATGCTGAAATGCATTTGCGTGCATGTGCTGGACGTTCGAGAATATATGTGGAGGACTAGCTGTCAGAACAGATTAGGGTGTTGCCGACGCGCTTGACAACTCAAGCACTTTATTATTAGCCAGGCAGGACCCCATCGGGAGGGGGTCGTCCAAAAACATCCCTGGTGAAATATTTTCACAGCAAGTGGAGAAGGGAGCAGGGGAGGCGTCCCAAAACACGCCTGGTAAAATAAAATAAAAAACACAGG